CCGGCCGCGTGCCCCGGGCCTGCGGCCCTGCGGTTGGCCGCTGAGGTTCGCGTGTGGAGCTGGCCAGCGGGCGTCTCCGCGGTGCTGGTGTTTCTCGCCCCCTTCGCGGTGGGAAGACTGGCCGGGTGCGGCTGGGGCGCCCGCGCCCCTTTGCTTAGTGGCACCCTGAGGACTGTGCGTGCGCGTGCGCGTGCGTGCGTGCGCGTGCGTGCCCGCTCCCGTGCACACACACACTGCAGTGGCTGCTCTGCACCTGGCGCTGCCCCCGCCCAGAGCACCCCACCGTGGAGGCTGCCTCCATCCTCACGGTCGTGCGGCAGGACTCGTGTCCTACTTCGTTCTCTGCTTCTGGAACGGTGAGAACAGCTCACTTGGCTCATGGTTCCAGAAGCTGGGCATGTAACAGGGGCCTGCAGGGTGTGCAGTGCAGAGAGAAAACAGGGCAACCGCCATGACGGCACCCCAGTCGGCCTCCCCGGGCTTGCTCACCTCCCAACAGTGTGTGGACTTCCTAGGAGATGTGAAAGGGATGCTGCCTACAAATTGTGATGGTGCCCACACATCAAAGAAGGATTTGAGCAGCGCCAGCTTGCCGAGTAAATAAATACCAGGGTCAGCTGAGCGCATCACCTTGGGGAAACCGTGCCTTGGGGTGGCCGGGGCTGCGTCGGGCGTGGGAAGAGTAGCTCTGCTGCCTGCGGTCTGACTGTGGACTCAGAGCGAGGACAGCGATGCCGCAGCCACTGCAGGCAGCTGCACTTTGGCTGGCGGGGAGCACCTTCTCTGGGCACAGTCACAACCGCAGTTGAGTCTCACACACACTTGGAGAGGACGTTCATCGCAGGGTGGGAGGGGGGTCAGTCACATGGCCAATGCCCAAAAAAGCCAACTGTGGCTGCAGTGGGGCCACCTGCAATCCCTGCACTCAGAAGGTGGAGCAGGATGGTGAGCTCCAGGCCAGCCTGGGCTACAAGACCCTGTCTCAAACCCAGACCAGAGAAAGCCAAGTTAGCCGTCAGTACCAGCAAGGTGCCCTCCTACCTGGTCTACCCCGTGTGCTCAGGAGCACAAGTGTCAGCCCCAGGGGTGGGTCAGCACAGGCTGCTTTCCTCCAAGGGTCCAGTGTGACTCCCCTCCTGCTGCTTGAGGCCGAGGCTCCGGTGTGCCTCTGCCGTGCTGCCAGGCCACTCCTGGCTCTGACTTCTGGAGCAGCACAGGGCCCTCTTTGGAGTGGTTTGTGTCTGTAGTGGGCCCCGAGCGGGCCGTGTGGGTGCGGGGAGAGGCGGGGTCCCTGGAGGGCTCTGCGGGCAGTGCAGCCCTTTTCCTTCCTGCAAGTTCCCGGGAGAGCCAGTCATCCCCCTCGCCTCCCCCCGGGGGCGGCCTCCAGGGAGACCTGCAGGGCATCCTGCCCTGTGTGCACATGCCCCCACACACATGACAACACAGCACCTGGATGCAGGCACACACGGTCACACGAGGCACAGACACAGCCAGAAGACGTACGAGCACACACCCCATGTGCACACGATGCTCCCACACACAGATGTGAGAATCAGCGTGTATGTACACACACACGGACACCATTTATCACCCACATATGCATTCTCAAGGCACGGAGGTACGCAAGCACGCACCACAGGCGTGTGTGCACACACATGCACACCAGTGCTCACAGGACCACAGTCAAGTGAGCAGACACAGCACACGCGTATGCACGCACC